TATATATATATATGTATTAAGAGATATCATGAAACGTTGTTCGATTACAAAATAGATGATTTTTAATAAATATTAGTATATTATTAAATGAAATATCATAAATGTCTGGATCAAAATCAATTGTCATTTATATCAAAATAACTGTTCAGACCTTACTCAAACTTTGTAGTAATTGTCCATGTTTTGATAAAATCTTAAATAATACATCAAATTAAAACAAAATAATAGATATAATTGCACATATTTTATCATTAAAAATAATGAAAAAATAAACTTAGATTCTAATTCTTTTTCAGGCTTTTGAAACAAAAACAGGGATAAAAATGAATAGTTATTTCTTAAAAAAATATATAAGTATATAAAATTTTTTTAATGTGTTCTATTTTTACTTGTCAGAGAAAAAAATTCTATTAAAATTATGGTACTGTGTGCTAAAGATATGCAGAGGAAAATATAATAATGAAACCAAATTTATGGTAATACGGTTGGTAATAAAACCAAAATATACGGTAATTAAATTATGCATTTTGTCATTTTTCTGTTCATATGGTATCGGTTTACTGGATTTTTTTTTTTTAATTATAGTGCTTATTATCACACATTTAGTAAAAATAGGAAATTTAAAAGTAAATTTAACCGAATAAATGTTTTTAAACCAAGCTGTAAGGTATCATATAAAGGATTAGAAAATTTTACCACATTTAGCAAATTTTAGTACATATTTAAAAACAATGTTTTATTGATAATTTTATCTAAATTTCCATAGTGATTCAGTAAAATTTAAAGAGAAATTTGATATTCCCATGAAGCTAAAAACACGGTAGTTTTACCATATTCTTTTAATTTCGACTATACTCAGTGTAGCATTCTTTGAACATATTTCAACAAATTATTATAGCCCAAAAAAACTTCAAAATATTGTTCCTACTTATTTTAAATTACAATGCCTTTATGAAAGATATTTATTTTCCGATATCAAATTATTATTTTCTTTGAAAACTTTAAATGCTTACTGCTTGATTTACAAAATAGTTATTTTAATTATAAAATATAATTTGTTTTACTGTAAAATCTTCTGTAAAATTTCGGTAAATTCTGTAAAATAATTTCTTTTTCGAATATTTCATTGTATTTCATTTCATCGCACGCTGATATGCATAGATGTGTGTATATTTAATGCATTAGGTATGTGCATTGTAAATTTGGCCTTCATAATCAACATGCAGAGAAGCGTTTGAAATTCATTTGCTTTTCAGCGAAAGGTCTAGTGGTAAATATTTGCTTTCTTATGCGTTTTAAAAAGTATCTAAGTTAGTTATAAATAATTCATAATTACTTTGTTGACTAATCCATAGTCCTCACTCAAAGATATTGCTTGCATAAACTTTGTTTAAATATCTAACTTCGATAAACTTCGGGTTAATATCTGAAATACATTCAGGCTATTGTCTTTAAGCCATTATTTTGTTTGTTTATCTTCAAATTGCTAGAATTTATTTTAACACGAATAAAATATTCATTTCCTTTAGTTGCTTTAAATCTTCGAAAAGAATAAAGTTTAAAAATGCTTCTTTAGGTTACAGATTTTATAATATAAAAAGCTTTTGCTCACACTAAGTAAGAAACTACATTTTGAAATGTTTGTAATATTGAAATAAATTAGTTTATTTGTTTGCAATTATGTATCAAATTCCAATTGTTTCTTTTTCACTTTGATTTACAAATTTTCGGAATAAATGATGATATACTAAAAATGTTACTGTTTTATTTTTTAAGAAATCTTTTTGTATAAATTTGTACACAATAATATATTGTTACTGAATTTGTCATAAATTTTAAATAAATAAACATTTCATGATCATTTGACCATCTTTTGTAAATTATTTAAAAAATTATATATATATA